CGCACACCCGGATGAGAGCCGTTGATGGAGAAGACACCCAAGAAAACAAAACATGAATCGATGGTCTAGAGGACGAGAGCTGGATAGTTTTGTACTCACCTCTCCTCTCAAGCAGCCGACTTTTTGCCGTTCGGAGACACAAACCACGCTTCTCCGTGCCCTCCAAACCACCCCTGTCTGTTTGTTTTTTTGTGCACGCTTCACGAGCTCCCGCCATGTATCAGCCGGCAAAACATTGACACGGTGACTTTAGGGTTGTCCGGATCCCTCTATGAGCTTGCTACGTTGAGTGTGCGCTTCGCAGTGGTTGGTGTTTAGGACGGAAGGGGCGGTCGTCTACTAATCCCGCCGCTCTTGGAAACATTTTCGCAACCTGCCCCATTTCAAAATGTTTGAGAATATTTTGTCAAACGAGCGACTTTTGCCCCATTTCAAAATGTTTGAGAATATTTTGCCGAAGATTTTCTCCCATAAACAGTGAAACAAAATCTTTGTCCGCAAATGTTTGAAAATATATACATTTTCGCAAAGATTTGGCGACCATAAACATGGGTCTTATCCCTGGAGTTGCAAATTGCATGGATGATCTTGTTAAAACGTTAATATATTTGGTTGTGGCACGAAGGTTTGCGGTATTATCAGCACCTGAAAATGAAGGAAAAATCGAGAGGACAACATTGAGTGAATATTGTTTTGGAAGATATTTAGCCTCTACGCTCTAATATTTATGGGGATATGGTAAAAAATGTGGTTTGAGGAGATTTATTTGCTCACATTAACTATCTACCTTTGTAATTTTCAAGTTGATTAGAACTACATTAATTGTACGCATCGACAATATCCTGTACAAGTTTTCTCCCCTCTACATCGCTGTGACCCCGTATTACCATGGAAAAAATATCCCCTTTTACACGATCCATCCCTCGTTAGCGTTGTACCGGGGAGTGACGTCACTTCCTTTTCCCTTTCCACAGGATCAGTGGTATAAAATACGTGTCCTTTGGTATCGTACTTTTGCGTACTCTTGTAGTGTCACTTCTTGAGTCCAACTGGCTGGGTGTTCAACTCGTAGGAATCAAACTGTTTCGAAGGGTCATAATTCAAAGAACTCAAACTTGTTGAAATGTACCCCTTTGTTTTGAATGTCCGTTCTGCCTCCTTTTGGGTATCTATTTGGTATACGATGAGGTCTTGGGAAGTTTTCGACGGAAATATCAGCGCCAATGCTAAGTCTAGAAACAATACTACGTCATCAGGTAAGACTGTTTCTCCTGTCGAACACGGACCTTGTGGTTCGTATTCTTCGGTATCGTGATACCTCTCCTCGATCCAAAAATCGCACGCCCACTAATTTACAACCCATACTTCCCTAACCCTGTCTTCTACACTAATCTCCAGTCATGGGTCTTACAATCGGAGAGTTCTTCGTTTCTCTCCTGACCGGCACCCGCAACGGCGAATTCTCCATCTACGTGGTCCTCCTCTGCTACTTCTGGGGTATCTGGGGGATAAAGTTTATCCTGAGCTATCTTGTTTATTTCCCCGTCATCGGGTGGGCCGGTGATCACAGTGTTTCTGTCATCGTCCCTACCTACAAGGAGGACCAGGAAACATTGCAGAAAGCGGTGGAGCGCATCCTGCACAAGTCCAACACGACGGTGAAGGAAGTCATCATCGTCACGGACGTGAGAGAGGCGAACACCATGAACAAGTGGTCTAGGGAGGAGTGGGCGAACAATCCTCGTGTCCATGTCGTGACCTCTGACATCGGTAAGAGGAAGGCCGTCCGTCTGGGTATAGAGTCGGCAAAGGAGGACATCCTTGTGATCATCGAGTCGGACACTTTCGCAGAGCCCGGGTCTATCGATGAACTCGTCAAGCCTATCGCCCTGAACGAGACTGTCGGGGGGTCGGTAGGTGACCAGCTGATCTACGACCACACCGCGAACAGCATCAACTACTTCAACCACCTGGTGGAGCTGATCAAGTACCGTTTCACTATACCGGCCCTGAGCGTCTTCAACAGCGTGACCGTGCTAGGGGGCCGGTGCGTGGCCTTCCGTAAGTGCGCCATTGCTCCCCTCATGGATTCCCTCGAGAACGAAACCTTTCTAGGGAAAAAATGCGTGAGCGGAGACGACGGGCGTGTCACGAGCCTCCTTCTGGCCACGGGCTGGAACTGCGTCTACCAGCGGACGGCCGTCTTTCTTACCATATCTCCCCCGACCCTGAAGATCTTCATGAAACAGAGGATGAGGTGGGCCCGTAACTCGTGCCGGCGTACCATCCGAGCCATATTCGTGGTACCCGAGAAAGATCTGGACGTTCCTTACAGCAGGTTCTGGGCTTACAAGAGACCGGCGGCCCTCCTTCAGGTCCTGACGGTGTGGGTAAACACCGCGGTCATGACCGCCGTTGTCGGGCTCACCCTGTACAGCCTCGTCACTGGGAAGTGGTTTTGGACAGGAAAAGGTGGTACAGAGGTAACTATTCGTGTCGTCCTGTTGCTCTTTGTTGGGATGGCCCTCCGTCGCCTCATCCGGATATTCCCCGCGGTGCGAGAAACCCCGTGCAAGTACTTCGGATGGCTTTTACTTTTCCCCTGGTACCTGTTCCTCATGTGGGGGGTAAGGATGTATTCCATCGTCACCATGAACAAGCAGGGCTGGGTGACTCGTGTCGGAACGGGCGCGGGTGGCTTCGGAACAGTGGGTGAGGGTGAAGAATCAAAAGCAGTGGGTGAGGATGAAGAGTCAGGAGGGGAGATCCACAAGAAGGCCGACATGGGTTCCCCGACGGACTGACTCCATGGACATCGACTACTGTAACTGTGTCATGTTTAGTTATGTTGATATATTTCTGGGCTCTATCGGGTTGCCACCCTCATTCCTCCAGTTTCGATACGCGCTTGTGCGCGTAAAAGAGTGGTGTGCGGCGTTTGGATATTTTTGGATATTTGATTTTGTGTCTTGTCTACGATAGTTGTATTTATTTATGTGCTTAGCAGCATGTCATATTTTGTCTACGATGATCGTTGCTATATGTGCTTTGCTGCATGTCATATTCACAGTAGTGGTCCCGATGTAGTGATATCCTGAGTAGTAGTGAAATGCCCTCAATAGTGGCATCAATATCTCTTGTCATAATCTCAACCCGATAAGTGGCATTGTACCACTATTGAGGACGGGGCTCTCAATAGTGGCATTTGGGCATCTCATCACCCCAATAGCGGTAATTCTAAACGCCGGAGCCCCCTATGTTTCGTATTTCAGCGCACGCACCACACATACACACGACACAAGAAGGATTTCTGTGGAGAACGTTGGCAACACGTACGTCGAAGAGGACACCTTTTCTGACTACGAGCTAGAGCTATACAACACCGAAGATCCTGAGAGTGAGGGGGGTGGAGGGATGCAGGCGCCGCCGTCGTTCGCGGAAATGTCTGGGGTTTTTGGTCCTCTAGAAGAGTGCGCGGAGTCGTGTGGTATTGGCGAGGCCGGATATTTCCAAATCTCGGCCCTCTTGTCCGGTGAAAACAAACGCAGTGCGCGCAGAAATTTACGCAGACGTGCATGCATCCAATCATATACATTATCGTTATTCGTGTCCATGGGTACCCATGGGTACTCACGGCCACCCACGGCCCACGGGGGACCATAATGACTTTCACCACCACGGGGATCACAACGGGTACCAAGATTAAGCGTGCTCTATAACATCGATTAGGCGGGGTCGATGAAGGCGCGGCCGCAGCGAGCTGGTACACCCAAGGTTCCGTGAGAGGCTCACAGCACAGCAGTTAGTGAGTCCAGCATTATTCCAGCTCGGCGCAAGAATGTAAAGAAAGAGAGGAAGCTATCTAAAGCCGACAAACTGGCTTGGTGTGGGCGTGGAGGAAAGCGCGTCAGTGTGCCCTCACCCAGATCCACGGCGCTAGGCTCACCCAGATCCACGGCGCGACGCTGAGGGCGTCGTCGCATCTCCCGTGTTTCGTACAGTGCACACGCACGCCGAGGCCTCTTTTCATCATACTTACTTGTTGCAGATTTAAACGCTACGGTGGGTTTTGTTGTTTTCAAAGCTCCAAGACGTTTCGTCTTTCCTTAGTCGGGACGAATAGGTCCCGTGGTGATCATCATGATTACCCGTCGGCACCCGTAGGGTGCCACACCACCGATACCAATGGATCGCTACCCACGGTTAACACCACGGGTGCCTGTGGCTGCCCACGGTGACGACCATGGGCTAGCGTTAGGCATCAGTTTGGGTGCCCATGGGTCACCATGGGTCACCATGGGTACCCACGGGCAATACCCATTGGTACCCATGGGTATTGCCCGTGAGTACCCATGGGCATTGCCCATGGTGCCCATGGGTACCCACGGGGTAATTTCACATGGTTATGGCGCGAATGTATCAAACATCTGCACCGAGACAAAGAAATAAACGGAATACTACGACGCAATGAAGAGGGCCGCGGGGCGGGAAAGCTTCGGGTATGGTTTGAAACCCTTTTGTCACCTGAACGGGCACGCACGAATGCGTGTTTACTACCTCGGGGAGAGATAAAGTAAGGAACAGAACGCCATTTGGCCTGCGGGTTCGCTTCGGCGACGATTTGAAACCCGGTATGTCGTGACCATCTCGCGTCCACGTGGTTGAAACCCTCTTACGCTTCTTGGGGCGGGGTCGCTTCTGCCACGACCTGAATCCCTTACCCCTTGCTGTATATGCCGCATATTCGGAACTATTTGGCTCGGTCCTGAAGAACCACGAAGGAAACACTAACATACGTAATGACGCCACAAAAAATGATGTTGTGAAAAAATATATGAAGCCAAACACAGCACCATAGAAAATCCACGCTCGACACCTTCACCACGAACTCCGAATCGGGCATCGTAAAATATCGTCGTTACACGGTGTACGACGCAACAAGGAAAAAAGATTTCGTCGGAACCAAGATATTGACAAGAAGTCGGAACCACGATGTTGACATACGCACGGCACATATCGTCCCGAGAACAGACAACACCCCCGCCAGGAAGGAAACCCATACCGGGAAACGTTGGCATTTTACAATGTCAACCGTGCAATGGGACAAAAAAAAACCCGACAACAACGGCAACCCATTCTAGTAAATCCACTGTAGTAGGAAACGTCGCTGTGTTACGGTTCGGAATGATACTGTTCCGCAAGTACGTACACCCTCACAGAGGTGGTTAGCCGCAGTCCGCGGAGCCTCTGCTGGAGTCGTGGAGTTCGCCCCTCCCTTCTCACTCCTTTTCTCGAGCTACCCTTCCTGAGCTCGAACTAAAAGAATAAGACCATAACATCTGCAAGGAGGCCTTTGCTCCGACCCAATACCAGCTCCCGCAGCCGGTACAAGTATCTTCAAGGTTCATCGCACTCGGTACAGTTGCTCGATTGCACAGAGAGAGGTCACCACAGCTACAGCTGGTCTTGCGGGGTCATCTGCGGGATAGTGCCCCTCTTGGAGGCGGAAGGATGTGCCGATGTGAACGCGGCCCTGAAACATATTTTTCCCGATGAGGATCGACGCCCGACCATCCTCTTTTACGACAAGGCTTGCGTTCTGGACCGCTACATGAGCGGCCGAGGGGATCTGTCCTGGGTTGGAACGATGCTGATCGTCGACCGGTACGTGACACGTGGGTCTGTGTTTCCAAAGCACCCGGGGCAAGTCAACGAGAGACTGCGTACACCTCGGCCTAAAGTAGGGCGTGCTCCCTGTAGGTAAGTTGCTCACAGCAGCAGGTTGGGCGTTCTAAGTTGCAGTTTGCGGGGCGTTGGGAGTGACGTGTACAGTGTGTCCAAACTCCAACTTGGAATGAAGTGCCGTCGTCGAACACATACCCCTGCCGTACCCAATACCCGTGTTGTGCGCATATCGTTACTGTGGACCCCGGCAGGTTCCCTTATCGGGGCCATACGGAGCTTGAGTTGTCTATCCTCAACAACCCAAACCACTACAACAACCCTCTTCTGTGGAACTTGCAGCAAGACCCACCCAAGTTCTACTGGAACTACTCCATTGCCGAGTCCAACAACGGGTGGCTAAGCGGTGCGTCAGATACACCCTGCGTCGAATCAATAGCAGTTTCTGGTTAACACCGTCATTACGGCCCCCCGTTGATGTCTTTTCCTCGCTGTCTCACTTTGTACTCCGTGTTGTTTCATCCATTAAGGCTAAGTACCTCCAACTACGTTAACTACCCTCACTTGTCCTGAAACGCATGCCTCAATTGTTGACCAGGGTTTCGACATGTCCTCATGCGCATGCCAAAGGCGCTGAACTGTTTCGTCTTGGACAACAACATCTGCTTCAAGAACGAGCTCCTGCTCACCAAAAAGCTGTTGTCCCAGCACCCGACCTTTGACCGTTAGTGAAGCACGTACAACACATACTTCCGAAACGGCAGGTTGAAGACGTCAGGAACCGCACAGCTCCCGCTGCCCTCTTTTTCGTCCTCCTACGGTGTGTCGAGAGCGGGCCAACATTCCTACCGATCCGAGTTCCCTGGTGCTCTCTACCTAGCAGAGCGGAATTCCACCCGCACACATGTCCTGGGGTGATGGGCTGAAGGATACACTTGTTTATGGTTACACCATTCGCGCTGCCTAATGGGGCTGCTTTACGTACATTCGAGCCGTTTAGGTTGCTTCCTCTTATCTAGCTGCGTCATGTCACTTTGATCAGCTGAAACGAGTCGCTCGACTCTAGGAAGGGAGAGGCGGCATTGCATGTTCTCAACGGGTCACTGATATTCCCGTTCATGCCAGAGATATTCGGCGCGAGAAAGGTTTACTGGCTTCTCCGCCCACGCCATGCATATTGGACAAAAGCTGTCCCACACTGACCTCTCTCTGTGCAATCGAGCAACTGTACCGAGTGCGATGAACCTTGAAGATACTTGTACCGGCTGCGGGAGCTGGTATTGGGTCGGAGCAAAGGCCTCCTTGCAGATGTTATGGTCTTATTCTTTTAGTTCGAGCTCAGGAAGGGTAGCTCGAGAAAAGGAGTGAGAAGGGAGGGGCGAACTCCACGACTCCAGCAGAGGCTCCGCGGACTGCGGCTAACCACCTCTGTGAGGGTGTACGTACTTGCGGAACAGTATCATTCCGAACCGTAACATCCCCCCTAGTATATTATTTACTCATAATATACTAACGCCACATCCTGTACTTATAACTAGAGGAATGATAGAACCGCGAGGTCTACCATCAACCGATATGCCTCGAAAGTAACTGATTCACCCGAACTTCACGCGCCATCTCGTCTCTCTCTTTCTCGTGAGGGACAAAACTCTCGATAATCCCTCTCGTGAAGTTCGTTGTCATGGAAAGCGATCCCCATGACAGTGAATTAGCCCACATACCGCCACTAGCTAAAGCGTTATTGCAATCGTGACAGTGATTGCAACCGTGTCCTACAGGACCTAATCAACCCACGCGTGCGCACATACACTCGAGGGATTGCACACAACTATCGACTCGGTACCGCCTACCGAGTAAGAGCAAAGGCGTAGGCTCAAACCCCTCAAAACAACTAAACGGAAGTCCTGGACAGGTCCTTCCAGACTCCCACATTCACACCACCTATTCAAGCGCCCCTTCCTCCCCACTGCCACAACGACAATCACGGGACCCTACATGATACACCCATGTCCCCCCACCATGGCACGACATATCCCACAACAACGACGGGATGGGGCAGTCTTCAGTGAAGACAACGTTCTAGCTCTTGACGCGTCATCTCCTCCCAGTTCTGGTTACTGTA